TAAAATCATAAAAAGCAATTTTTAAAAATATTTTTGTCAATTGAATTTGGAATGTTCAAATAGTATAACTATTATTGCCAAAAATTAAGAAGATTCTGACACAAATTTATTACTTTTGGAAAAAAAAAGATTACAACAAGTAAAACTTTTTTGGGGAAGAATATAACACAGTCTGTTAAACAGTGTGTAGTTACCTTAACTTTGGAACAAGCCTATGATTTTGGACTGTATATTGAACCTGTAAAACCAATATTAACACAGTAGATATTTTCTAAGCAGAGACTAAACTTAAACTACAAAAAAGAGAGAGAGTATACAAGTTTGTAGGTTCTTGAATAGTCTTAAATATATTACATTTTCCCCTGAAACTAGGTTCTCTATCTAGTATTTTTTTTTTTTTATTTTTTTTATAAAATTCAGTCAATGAAAACATAAATGTAAATATTCAGTGGATTAGCTATCTGATGTACTTTCAACATATGTGTACTTTGAAAGTTGCCTGATTATTAATTTTTTGCTGAAATTCAAAAATTAATTTACCCCCTGAAGTTATTGTTTAGTTTCATAGCTTTTAAAGCCAGCATATTCTATTCATACTTACCATATTTTAAAAGTGCATTGGATTAAAATTGTTTCAAAATGTAGAATACAGCTTCTATATTATTGAGTTGAATTTATTTTTTATGAAGCCATGCAAACAATGTAGAATTACAAAGGAACAAAAAGAAATTATCAAGAAATATTTTGTCATAAAGAGATACTTTGATTTTTTATTTCAAAGTATTTGTTTTTACCTTCAATATTGTGATGATGCAATCGTCTGTCAAATCAGCTTCAGGATCGATCGCCAGTCTTATCAGCTTCGGGCTGTTTGGACTGAAAAAAAAAAAAAACCTGCACTGTGACACTGAACTCAAGTTGCCGAATGCATCTATAGGCCATAAAAAAAAACAAACATTTGTCATTATGTTTAAGAAGGAATCCGGACTTGATAACGATCTCAACATACATAACGCCAACTGACATACAGCGCCATGACAAAAGTATTCAGGAATTTTCAAAAATGGCGGCCGTAAACAAGGACGCGCTTCAAGGAACAAACATCTAAAATATATACTTAAATATCATTTTAACTTAGGTGGTACCTAATATTTGGTGAGGTGTCCCTTAGATTTAATGACAGCTAGTAAACGGCATGGTATGGAATCATATAGAGTTCTTATGTAGTTCTGATCAAATGAAGTCCATGTGTCTGAAATGACAGCAAAGAGCTTCTCGGGGTCGTTACGTTTTGTTGCAATGTTGTAGAGTTCGTTTAAACTGAAGCCACAAGTTTTCAATAATATTGATGTCCGGGGACTGTGCTGGCCACACAATAGTGGAATGTTATTTTCCAGTTTGTAGTCCTTCGCAATGTGGGCTCTATGTACGGGGGCATTATTACCTTGAAAACGGTACGTTTTATTGCTAAAATGCCGTGCAATTACAGGCCATAAATGGTTTTCTAAAATTGCAATATATTTTTCTGCATTTATATTCCCGTTGACAAGGCAAAGGGTTCCAACTCCATAGAATGTTAATGCAAAAAAATTCCTGAACACCATAAGAAATAGACACCCTTCTTGTAGCGGAGGACACATGCATTGTAAGGGAACGCTTCTTTTGATGTTCTCCAAACGTATACTCTGTGGTTTTCACCCAGAACGATCTGATTTCATCGGAGAAGATTACAGAGTTCCAATAATTATTAACAGTAAGTTTTCTCTCCTCGAGACACCAAGACATACGCTTTTTTCTGTTAACCTGTGACACAGCCATCTTTTTTCTTCCACTCGTCTCTTCACATCATGTTCATGTAAAAATCTCTGCACTGTCCGTGGATGATCATTTGCATCCCTTCTTCTGGTTAAATCAATCGTAATATCACTTAAAACACGTTCTCTGTGAATTTTGGTATGACGAACAAGCCAGTTCCGATCCCGCTGCGACATCTTGCAAGGACGTCCTTTTCTTTTCGCTTTGTTTATCTCCCCCGTGTATAAATACTTTTTTCCAGATTATTGATCTGATTGTAGATTCCGATATTCCTAATAAATTTTCAATTTCACACGTCTTTTTACCTTTTAACTTCATTTCAACAATCAATTTTTGTACATCGTTCGTAAATTCTTAAGATTTTCGGACCATGGTGAATAATATGTTTGTTTACGATTTTACAAGAATGCAGACGACGGAAATTGATACATTACGTCACCAACTTGCGAAAGATAACTCTCTGAAAATTTCACTGGACAAATGGCCTCGTTCAAAAGTTATTCCCCTTTGAACAAACGAAGTGTATATTGTTGACGTCGCCATTTTTGAAAAATCACGAATACTTTTGTCATAGCGCTGTACAAGGTTTCTACTTTCACTTTCATATCAGAACGTAACAAAACGAAAACAAATTCAAGTTTTAAAAGTAGTAATGCCTTTAGCCTAACGTGTAATGTTTACATTCATTCAGAAACAAATTTTACCCAAACTTACCTAGAGATCACGAACGTTACGTTTACGAAATGCATTGATTTAACAATTAACTACACCATGCGAGTGATAAGAGTATATAGAGATTTCATACGCACCTGTAACAATAATGAAATTATATTTAAACAATAAGAATCAAAAGTCTTTAAAATATTATTGTTAGATCACTTGCCTTTTCCAAAAACCAAACACGTCTGCTGCAGCTGTGACGTCAAAAATGACGTATATTTACATCCTATAAAAGACAAAACCGACCCGGAGAAAAATACGGAATTATTTTAATTTTACTTAGCCAAACCCAAAAGATTTAAAATGAAAAGCAAATTAATTTATTCTTTATCTATTTTGTCTGTGAAATGCATTAAAACAGAAAAAAAAAATATGAAAGGTTTTTTTAAAAGGAAGGTGGGGCGGGGGGAGGGGGGGGGGCGTTGAGTAAACAGAGTAGAACTTTACATATAATTAATTACTAACAAATTCTTTGGAATTAATATACATTTTAATTTATCTTTTGATATATATAATTGAAATTGCAATTTTACTTCAGTATAACAAGGACAGATAAGTGAACACTGTTTCATATGATTCTCATATGATCACCGTTTCATATGATTCTCATATGATCACAGTCAAAACATTCGTATGAATTTTACCTGAGTATAACAAGGACAAATTAGTGAACATTGTTTCATATGACTCGCATATGTTCAGTTTCATTGAATTCTCATATGATTATTGTCAGAATATTCATATGATTCTAATATGCAGGATCTTTCATATGAGAATCATATGTATATTACTTCACATGATTCACATATGTATGATCATATGATTCTCATATGATTGGCCACATATAATACTCATATGATTTTATATACATATGATTCTCATATGATCCATATATGGTCTTCATATGAAAGGCAATGCATATGTGGATCATATGTGGCTAAATTGCCTACGCAGGTAGGCTAAGGTTACAACCAAATATTATACTTGCCTATATGATATGACGTCATAGTAAACTATATGACGTGAAGTTTAGAGATAACAATTTCTTATAATCGATATCTAAGATTGATTTGAGGTTGTAAAAATTAATCAAAATTTGCAGAGGCATTATGCAAACAAAACTTAGTCGTTTCTGGGTCTCTGTAGTTATCAAAGGGGTTAAATACCAAACCCGTGACGTCATAACTGTTGATCATGCAGTAGCAGAGTGAAAGTGAAACGTTACGAGAATTCATGTAAACAAACACAAGAAATCGGAATTTAAAAGCATTTAGAATGAATATCATGTGTGATTCATGTGGGAATAAAGCTTATGAATAAGGTATGGTAATATACTTCAACAATGTCTTCGTAAAATTAAAGCAGGGAGGGTGTTTACTTGCCGATCAGCCTTTCCTCTGTCGTTCGTAACAAATAAGATGCAAAAGTTCAACACTACGCCGCACACTTTTAAACTTAATTTTTGTTTCTATTTAAAGTTCTTGTTCTAATGTTTTTGAAAAGTGCTGCTAGAATCGTATGGTTTAGGGGAATTAATGCATTTTTTACGATGTTATGGACAAAATGTAAAAATTTTGGGAAGGTTTCGTCAGAAAGTTTTGAATAATTATTTTTGTGATAGGACAGTAGGATTCTAGCAGCACTTTTCATGGTACAGAGATATTTTTACATAATTATTATTACAAATTGAAATTGATTATCCCCGGGGTAGTGTCGAACTTTTCACTTTTTCATTAAGGCATATTTTCTAATTATAGACGTCACGTGGTGACGTCGTGGCGAAGTGCTTCATGAAGTATAAGTCCCATTGAAGTCTATAGAATGCATAATTATAACAAAAGTTTTATGCTTGACTTTTCCGATTAATTAGTGTAACCTAATTATAAAAAAAAGTCTTAATTCGCCGCATTCTGGTCAATGTGCTGCCTTAACATACCCGCGTATGTAAAAAGAAAAAAAATCAATACAAGTTGAAATCTAAGTGGTGAATATGTTGTTTGTCTACATTCGAGAATGCAATGGAAACATCGGAAAATATTTTACGTCAAAATGCACAATTGTAGTCCTGTTCCATAACATATAAACACTGTAATTCATAACTTACGTTACTTGGGAACTATCGACAAAAAGACTCTTTGAACAGTATTTTTCTTCCGAATAACTTCACATATTAAACATCTAAATGAACGCCAATCCCACCCACAGGTAATCGCTCTTTGTGGCTTTTTCCTAGTCTAATTCAAGTTTTATTTCGACCTGTTTGATTTCTTCCAGTCGGTGTTGAATTTCTGAGATTGTTGAGCTCAGTAACAGCAAGTTTGACTCTTCGCTTTTGCGCCAGTTTATCTTGCTTTTCATTTTCTTCACGATCTGCGACATTTCATCGATTTCATCTTTCAAATCCCCTTCGAGATAGATTCTTACAATAAACAGAAACCTTTCTGCATACGTACTTTGTAATGCTTCCAGCTACAGCTGTACTGCTAGGTGCAAACAATGCAACAAGGACCGGTCTAAGTTTGTTTTCGACATCAAAGGGGGTTTTTATTCCTGTCATTTTGTATTTTATCTCATGCAAATGTTCGTGAAGTTTGATAAAGTTATCTGTGAGGCTTTGTAAAATTTTTCTTTCAAACAACTTTCCAATATTTTCTTCTTGCCAAGAAAGAGTCGCCTTTTCTATTCGAGAGTCCAGTTCTTGACCAATCGTAAAGCGCGTATATTTCTCCGTTCCTTGTAGAACAATGGTTTCTAAGTCTTTACTTTGAATATACCGTTAAAGATCCTCTGCAGTTTCATTCAGAAAAGTTTCAATTCTGTTATGGAGATTTGAGTATGCCTAAAAGGAAGTTAACATATTTCACATAATGCATTTTGAAACGTTTTTATTTAGTGAATATTATCTTTTTTATTTTAAATTGTTTTAACATTTTTGTTCATGAATGTTAGTCTTAATTTTGGGTAATTTTTTCTCAATATACTTTTAATGCCCACATTGTGAGTATGCTATAATTATTTCATTCTACAAATACGGGAAAAAAGTTGAACTGTTTGGTGAAAACTGTTCCATTGTATGCCAACAGAACGTCATAATATGAAAATAAATGTCAGAGGGGAGATCAAAGATGGAAATAAGAATGGCTGACAAACGTTTATGAAAAAATACTAAACTGAGTTGAGCATTTTGCTTTAATCAAATTAAAATCTAAAAAGAAAATGCCAGCGTCATAATTATTACATGTATATTATGTAAGAAAGTAGGTATTTATTATAATTTACATGTGACCAGACTTACCTCTGTTCTTTTAGTCTGGATTACTTGTAGATCTCTACAAAGCTGATCCAGGTCCTTTATTGTATCATCTGTATATTGTCTTGCACATTTAAGCTTACTAGAAAGACTTATATCACAGACATCAACAAAGGATTCTATAAATCTGTAAAATTAATATTGTAATACATATGTTAAAGTTCATTAAGGTTATCCGATCCTCAGGTTTTGAAAATCAGGCATGCATTGAATAATTGAAAATGCTAAAAAAGATGTCTCTTAATTTTCAAATTAAAATGTATTTACCCACAGTGTTTCTTTAAACTTCATATTTAAATTTAATCATATTATATAGTGGAAATTAGTTAATCTCAAATAATTTTTCAGGAAATGCGATTTGAACTACCTACTGCATAATTATGTTTTAATTGATAATTGATCAAGAAATACATTTTAGGAATAAAAATCATAGGTATCCAGGATTTTAAAGAAAATTGCAAGAATTTTACACTTTTTGGACTTTACTTTCTCCTTCTTACTTCCATCGTTTCATAATGCATAGTGTAGGAAGTGTTTCCTTTCAAAGAAAACACGGTAAATCAATTCTTATTTCAAATCATGCATACAAATAAACATTTGGTAACTAAGGCTTAATGAAAAGAAATTTGATTTTTTTTAAATATGCGAGTTTTACTTCATTTTATGAGGTACAAATGTAAACATTTTAAATACCTTTTGTTAAAACTTTAAAGAACATTGAATCATACGTAGAGACATACAATGAAAATTGTTGCATGAAAAAAAATTCAATTTCAAACTTTATTTTAAGACATTTTGCATTAAATTATAAATTAGAGAGTTATCCTTCTTGGCTGAGGATCGTATATCCTTAATACTGGATTTTAATAAAATAAAGCCACATATACATGACACGCGCTTGTCTTCTTACGGGTAAAAAAAAGTCTCCGTTCTCATTAACTTTTTTTAAATTAAAACTTTATGTATTACATTTAATAAAACAAAATTTCTTTTTTGTTCAAGAAAGCACTATATCTAATTATTATAAATCTGTACCACAGGGTCTGATATTCCTTGCTAGAAGTAACAAGATGATTTAAAAAAGAATATATATTGTACATATCACCTTTGTAGTTCGGGAAGAATGAAAAACTCTAATTTTAAAATCTAATTTTAACGAAAGCAAAGCTCGTTTCACAGCAACGAGTAGGTCTTCCTTCCTCTTTGGCCAGAAGTAACATTATTAAAAAAAAAGATTATTTGACGTATCCAATGATTAAACTCCTCTGAATCTATGTTTATTTTTTTTTCAAAAATTAGCCATTTCTGGTTACTTCCAGTTGGACCGGGAGTGATTTTGATTGACGGAAAATTAAATTTTATGCTTCCAGTGACAGATATTACCAAAAACCGAGTCAAAAGGGCAATAATTTGCATTTTTGAATACTTACGGTTTAGCAGGAAGTGACGTCACTGGACATATTTTGACGATCTCTATATCTATTGTTCTTGATATTTTAATATATACATGTTCAATCATTTTTATTAAGTCGAGCTCACGTGCACAAGATCAGTAATAAAAAAACTTGAAAAAGAAACCCAAGACTAACAGTAAGGTTTTTCCGCTGAAGACGGAGGACCTTAATAATATATATTTGCATAGTTAGAAACTAGAGGTAAAATGACCTATGAGCTCACTATATGATATTTTCAGCTTTCCATACCATTTTAACGGCAAAGTCACTGTTTACCCTGGGGACTAGAAATAAGTGTTAGACCAAAGAGTAAAATAAAATATGCACAATGGCATAATACGGTCATGAATCTGTGTAAGTATCATTAAATTTATTTAGTGGTATACGAGGAACTCTTGATAAGAGATTGGTACCCTTTAGTTTATCGAAGAATGGCCGTGCTTATGTTTTGGTCTGGGGAACCTCAAAACATGTGTCGGGCCAAAAAGTTTAATAAAATGTGAGCAATTGTGAATAAATTCTTTTATTTTTTGAATTATTTTTTTTTCTATCAAGACTCTAGTATCTCTTACCTCAAGTGAACTGTTACTCTTTTGAATTCATTTTTGGTTATGACTTTTTTGAGAATCTCATAAAATGATTCAAATTCCGCAGTGTAGGCCTCTTCTTCATTAACCTAAGCAAATGTTTAAAAAGATATGCAAATAGTTTTTTATTAAGCACACAAAAAAAAAACATTGTCACTTAACAACCTTCTTTAGATTTGAGGTTGAATCTATGTGAAGCAAAACTTGGATTTTAGTACGACCCAGAAATTTGCACACTTTTAAGAACAAATTCAACCTACCTTTATTGACTTATTTTTCCCCACAGCTTAGATGTGGGTTCCTGAAATAGTTTAACCAATTGAGCTATATCGGGATGGCTTAAGAAAGATTACATTGATTTATTATCTTTAATGTGTGCTGATTTACATGCACTAGCATCGTTCAAGTAAAGGATAAAACACATGCTTGATAAAATTATTTAATATACTTTTTTATACATCGTTTAAGTTTTGTTAGATTTCGACATAAATAAACGGTTGTACAAATACGCAGAATCGAGAAATTTATTAATGATATTACTCAAGCTGAACATTAAACAATTAACGTATTAGAGACGCCGTGAGGACCTAGGATTTCTCTACTAACTCATTTCTGCAGAGCAGTATATAGTCAAAACATGGGTGTGAAAGGCGTGAATTTCTGACGATGTCGAGATACACGGGCGTGACGAGCGACCACGTGATAAACAATTACGTTAAGTAGAGCAGAAAATTGTCCCGATGTCGACATTTACCAAGTAGATTTGACTCTTGGGACTGAGATATACGTCGATATAAGCGGGATAGTTGACATTACCGGGGTCGACATATCAGAGTTTTTGCAAATCATCTATATAGTAAATAATGCCGGGACCGCGGACGAACGTCGACATATCCCAGGTTGTAGACATATCCGATGTCGAGATACCGAAGTTTACCTCTAATTATTTACCTTAGCAGCGGTGAATTTCAGAATATTAGTATCTTTCACATCCTCCCATATCTCATGAACTGTATCTCTGAGTTCTTCGTAAAGGTCCTTCTTTCGATTTTTCTTTTGAATTACTGTATCCCACTTGTTGAGCAGAAAAATTGCATCTTGAGGATCGAAACAGTACATTCGACTCATCGATTGCCTCACATGCTTAATAATATGTGAAAGCTACAAGTTATTTAAATGAATATTAATTAGTATGACTGAACATATCTAAATGATGTAAAATTTGCATTAAAAAAATGAACACGTTTTATTTACTTCTCTATATAATTATAACTTTGCTGAGTTTTTTAAAAAAAAATGTCTTACTTGTGAAAGAGACCGTTTTCCAAAACAAAAAAATGAGTTATTTAATGGGAAAAGGTAATTAATTTAAAATTACCCTATCCCCTTGAAATCCACCTGCTGAATCAACGCTTACAACAAATATAAAAGCCACTGCATTTGGTAGATAATCCATCATCTTTGACGCCATATCACCTTGTCCTGAGTCTCCTTTTCCTGGGGTTTCAACTATTATAATGTTACCCTAATTGCGGAGAAAGATTTAGTGTAAGTATGACATTCCTCAGATGATCCTATTGATTTTAAGGACCAGGAATTTGGAATTTTAAGAAGAAATGAGGCTTTACGCAAGCATATTTGATGACATTTCTAGGGAATATGAACTGGTATCAAAGATAAAATTATTACTTATATGTGAGTGAAAAACCGTCATGCCTTCATATGGCAGCTTTTAAAGAGCTTATAAGATTTTTCAAAAGTCATTAACACTACAAAGTCAAAGTTAAAAGTTAAAATCGTCGACATCTATTGAAAGATTTTGTGAATATAAATACACCTATGAAATATGTTAGACCTTGAACCAACTGCTCAAAATTTATTATCAAGATTTACGTCTGGAAAGTTTTGGTAAAAACTACTGAAAATGTCAGGTTCAAAAGGGTTAAATTCTGTAATGCCCTAAGAAAAGTTCTTGTCTTAAGGAGTATACATATGACAAATATAAAAGACACACCCTTAAAATATGTGGCAAATGTTGATGTTTTTGAGGACAAACAGAGGAACAGACAAACAAAAAACAGACAGTGCAAAAATTCTTTACCCCTGAATGTTCGATAACGTGGGCATAACAAACAATTATAGAGATTCATTTTAGATATACGTGGAAATAAAATTGCTTATTTTCTGATTACTTGCAACAGAGCATGAAATGTTTATGTTATATCTTGTTTATTAAAAAATAAATATTCGCAGACTACCTTTAATAGCGGTGCTGGAAAACAAATATCTATATATTCTATTCGATGGTCACATGTCTTAGCAACTACTTCGAGCATTTCACTCATGTCTTCTTCATCATTAAATTCTGACAGTGTTAACACTTTCTCGTCTTTATCAAGCGTTGATACTTTTCTTTTTTCGGAATACCTTATTCTACAAACTCTTGTTGTCGTTGCGTTGATATCAGATGGCAAAATATCGTCACCGATTATTAGATTTATTAGGGTTGATTTTCCAGAGCTTGTTTCTCCTTAGAATAGGACGAAAGTGTTAAAAAAACAATAAATTATCCAAATATTATGACATAATATGTGATATAAAAACAATGTCTGGTGTTTATAAAACATATAGACTAAAATCACCTGCTACCACAATAGCACAATCCGTCATCATAAGATCCTTCTTTCTGAAATCTAACTGTTTATCTATATCCTCAAATCTGTGCAAATCGGGTTTTATATGTTGTCTAAAGCCTGGTCGTCGAATTAATATCTGTATAGATTTATATAGTTCGGCCATATCTTCAAGAAGACAGTCGTAACTACTGATTTTTCTGAAATGTAAAGAATCTTCACAATTACAGGCTGCTGCAAAATCGGAAGCTTAGCACACATGATACAATAATAAAACTGATATTCAGTGTAAAAGATGAATGTAGACTTTGAGTCTTTTTATATAAAACAAAAATAAACATCAAACTTAATGTACATAAATAATTCTCTCAAAATTTGTTTCTAATTCCGCTTACAGTGTACAAATGAAATAGAATAATTCTTTCTTTAAAAAAGACAGTTTTTCACTATAGAATTTTCTGAAAATTTCGACAAAAGGTAAAATTTAGTAAAATGTTATAGATTGAATTTTTTGGTTTACTTTTGAATATATGAATCATGTTAGGAAAACTTAAATGAAAAAAAAAGAAAAAATAAAGTTTTGACAGATGTAATTCATACAGATATTTTACTTAGTTGTTAGGGTGACATTAGTTCAAAATGCTTTTTTCAATCAATTAACTATATTTTGCTATTTCGGGCGTAGACAGTAATGAAACCAAATTTCTAATAAAATTCATTAAAACTGAAGATCATAATATACAATTCTTTTTTTTATCACAGGCATGACTGCATTACCATCATTAATGCATTATTAAACATGATGCAATAACTTTGGATCACAGGCATGTCGTATAAGGGGATAAAGGTTTGTGGAATTGAGAGTGCTTTTTACTTTTGTAAATGTTCAAAGACAAGCTGTCCCAAGTTTTGCTTTAGCACAGATAAATAAAGGTATTTTGAAAATGAATTTATCAAATTTGGTTTTGAAAGAAAGTAAGCCCCCACCATCCCCCGTCAAACATACAATCGAAACTTGAATTGGCATAATTTTCCTCTTAATTTTCCTCTTTATTGCCTGTCAATATTGTTTTAGTTTTTTTTTTGCTGCCCATATAAAACAATACATACATATCAAGATTAAAGTCGTTTTTTTTTTTTACTAAAAGTGCTCATAAAAAAGAAACATCGACTAATGGTAACCCACACATTTATGGTTACTTAAAGAACTTTGTACTTATATAAAAGCAGAAAAAAATTTATTAAACATTAGGTTTAATAATGATGGGTTCATCATGAACACGTAATTTTTAACTGTTGGTTGAATATCGCATGCAATCAAAGTTGCATTTAAAATGTTTACTTTGATAAGTTTATATTAAGGTGTTATTCTTTGCTTAATTCCGAATTATGCAAATCTGTAATTCATTTCTATAATTAAAATACCATCTCCGAATTGATATAAATTCTGTGGACCCTATTTGATTGATTTAGTCTTCAAAATAATTGATAGATATTAATATTAATTAATTAATATACTTTCATGTAAATTATTAATAATTAATTAATATACTTTCATGTAAATTTGTTGAATCTGATTGGTCGATAAAAATTTGTTAAAAAACACTATTAACCGCTGGTTAATGAAGCCACGCCCTCCAGCATAGCAACAGTCAACATTACTTGACGACGGGTGGTATTTAAAAAAATAGAGACTGCGCAGAATTTATGCGCGCACGGTTCACTGTTATATGTACATGTATTTGTATAAAACATTCTGTATAATATAATAAATATAGCATGTAGCTGAGTGTAACATTGAAAATTTTCACCCCTCGAAAACCATTGTCAACCTCGACTGCGCCTCGGTTGACAATGGTTTTCTGTGGGGTGAAAATTTTCAATGTTACACTCAACTACAGGCAATATTTATATAATAGTGTTCTTTTTATTGTAATAAACAGTAATTTTTCACTCTAAATCAAAGAAGCTAACACTCTGTACGAGGGGTGAACAAAACTATCTCTATATTTACAAAACCACAGTTTAGTTCAGAATGACATTTGGCAGATATAGAGTCATACACATGTTCTATATAAAGAATATGTAATGGAACGTTTTACCCCATGTTTCTGATTTCTTAATGTGAAAATGACGCCATAATGTAGATCACTAGTGATAAAGATGATTGACTCATTCGGGGAAAAAAAATATTATAAAGTTAAACGTATATCTTGAAAAATCCTTCACAGAATCTTATGATAATTTGTATACGGTTTATGAAGACAAGAGACTTGCCAGAAGTTTTGGCATTAATTTGATTGATTGCCTAAGTGAAGGAAGGGAAATGTTTAGAAATGATGTTTTTTTCTGTTCCTCGGTCAAGGCAAACTGGGAAAGATATGTGTTCTTTGTTAAGCAATTTGATATGAATGATCGCTAACTTCCAGTTAGAAAAAAATAGGACAATATCTTCACAATAATATAATCATAAAATTGGCTGAATATCGTTTATAGACTTTAAACATATCACATATGATAAAGTGAAGGCACCCATACTTTATTGAATTGGAATAAACGACGTTCAAAAGACAGAGGTCTTGGGTTTTGATGGTGAAACTGCTCATTCTGCAAAAGGGTATCATAAGTCACCCATGCTATTGCCAAGGTTTGGCCATTTCTGACAAGTTGACTGTTTTTGTCGTAAAAATAACTTGCATGGTAAGAAATATAAGAGTCGGAAAAATCTTTAATGTTCTGTGACAGAACGCTATGAAACATGTCACATTACCGCCTATATATGTATCACGGGAACCGCACATGGGCAGAACGGTTACAGATGCGCATTCAAAATGAAGAAGACTAATATAAAAACTTTAAACACTGCAACCCTGTATTCTTTCTTGGAAGTTATTTGATTTGTTCGCCAATTTTTTGATCGCCTCTCGCATTGTTATTCTTTTGTATAGAAATAGTTAATATTATGTATTTGAAAGTGATTGGGTTGTTTTATAATGCAATAAATCAAAATGTAAATTTATCACACAGTATGATTACCGGAAGTCACTACTGGAATGCAAATCTGTAAGTTCATCGTGCACTTCCTTTTCGTCTTTCCTGTCTATTTTCTCTTGAATATTTGCTTGGGCTCTTGCATAGATTATTTCTTTTTTTGATTCTTTGTAATGCTTTCTAAACTTGTTTCAACTTCTTTTGTTTTCGATTCTGTGTTCATTGTTTTGCTTCTAAATATGTAGTTTGCATAAATCATAAGCACACACTAATATAAAATTGAAGCATAGTATAAAAGTATAGGTCTATATTTGGATTTCATTTTCTAAGATGACTTAACGAAATACAAATAAAAAAACTACATTATTCAGTTGAGATTATGTCCAAAATATTTGATCTGAGAACTATCCTTGAAATTTAAGTACTGTCCCTATCTTAAGATATTGAGAAAAGGATCAGAAAAATAGAAAGAATTTGAATAGTTAAGGTAGTTCTTATAGAGGAAAACATTTATAAAGTGAGCATGCGTTTAATATAATGACAAACTTTAGATGGCTTGAATAATGCAGTGAAGTACTTATTATGATCGGGATCTGTATCCGTATAATGTATATTTAAAAAGATAATAAAAGTAGTTTTGAGTGGTTAGGCGGGGAATTGACACGTGGATGCTAAACCAATTAGACAAAAAAAAATGAATGACCTTATGTTTTGAAAAAAAACAGAACATTTAGAAAAAAGTATTATAGAGCCATCTTCTGATGTTTTGGATTCTTATCGAGTATTAGTTAGAGAAAAAGGCCTCAGTCTGGGGTATCACATAGATTTTGGGGCATTAAACAACTAAAAATGCTTTATTTTAACCAAACATCACTACCTATCTGATTCATTAAAGGGAAGTAATTTGTTTAGTACTCTTTACATGCAAGAGGCATGCTAGAACATCAATGTACATAAAGATGACAAACACCAAATTGAAAAATATGGTTTGTTTCAGCTTAATAGATTACGATTTGCTCTGTGTCGCAGCTTGTGTGCTTGTGTGCTACATCCAGTATTGTTATTCAGTAAAAATACTTTAGGAATTAACATGGACACAGTGTTTAGCATACTAACAAAATGTAATACTGATCCTAGCTTTTAACTTCAAAGATCATCTCAAAAGAAGCTAGAGCATTTGTATAAGGATTTTGAAATAAAATCTTAGACTCGAAAAGATTTTTTTTAGAAAGAAGTGTACTTCTTAGGTAAAATTGTTAATGAAAAGGGGTTAAAAATTACTCCTGGAAATATCACAATAACAAAAATTGGCCAACTCCAAATCTGATATTAGAAATTTCCAAAAGAAAACTATGATAATATTACACAAATACAGGATCTCCCATGATTTCAGTTGGATATGATTTTTATCCAACGAATTTAGCGTGTTTCCTCTAAAACCATGACCAGTTTGAAAGGTCATATCTAAATAAAAAGAACGATTATATGTTTTATTTACATCTAAAGCGTAATGTCAGAGTAATATATTTGGACATTTACTTGCAATATTCAGGTCATCTTTATATATCAATATTGCGAGGACATAACTAAATATAGATCTTAGATTCATTTCACAGGTTCTTATGAGCATCCCCCCGACTCCCTCACGCCCCAATATTTAACCCCAGGGTTGATTGGACATTTTTTTTCACAAATTATATTTTCAAAACTTATTCCTCATGTGTACAATATGAAAAAATCGTCAAAACCCCAAAATGATCGCTCCACAAAAAATACCCCACTATACATTATAAGAGAGAAAGTTATGCCACTCCGCTTTGTTTCCGTTGTACCCACACTGGTCTTTCTGGGTGTAGAAAACATGTATTTATTTCATTTCAACCTAAAATGTCGATTCACACCATCTCTACATATATTTCTGTCTTAGTCTATGCTATCGGATAGACTCTGCATTTCGTAAAAATACCACAATAACTCCTTCCACAATATTCCAGTCAGAACGTAAAGAAAAAAAAAATATCAGATATTCTTACATGTAACACAGAGATGCAAAAGGAAAAAAAATTAGAAATCCAATATTTCAAATAGAAAAAATACACCAAACTTACAAATAGTGAAGCCAATACATACAAAAACTAGCATTAACGCCATTCAAGGACTATATAACCATCAAAATTTTCTTTTCTTTATTTTTTTCATACTACTTTTCCTTTCTCAGTCTCTAGTAGTAAAGGGTAAATAGAAACTAAAAAATGAAAAAAAAAGATAATAATAATTACCTCAAAGTGGAAGGTCCAAAATCGCTACCACAATGGATATTATCTGATCCTCGGCTCTGCCACTTTGAATTGTCTTCTAAAATTTCTTCCTCTGGTTTATCTAGTAATTCTTCTCCCATGGCAATGGATTCTGAAAAAAAGAAAAGAAAAACAACTTGTTCGCAGAAGTATTTGAAACCATATCCGAAATTATCTTTTAGATATAAGTACCCATATTGAAGCACAATCTAAAAATATGCGCATCTAACTTTGTAGAAGCTGGTACTTCTTATTATGGCTGCAATTCCCGGAATGATCCAGGTTGAGCATACAATTTCTTTTCAGTTGGATTTTCACTAGGTATACATGTAAAAGAGATGATGTATGTCATATTTCTCTGTCGAAATAAATATTTTGCCTTAAAGAGAAAAAAATATTTTGGATATTTGTGGAGCATTCGCGCATCAATAATGTTAATTAATATCTAGTTGAATACATTTTTTTCGGATTTCAAGTATACAATCTTTGTAAAATTCTCATGGCCTATACACCTAAATAAAAATTCTATCGTTAAACTAATATTGTTCTAGGGACCCGGTTTAATGATATAATTCGTTCCGTTTATTCTTAATGTAGCAAAAGAAACACGGGCAATTACTCGTACTCAGTGCATTTACTATGAACAATCTAGAGAATTCCGAATGTAAACATGGAAGGTAAATTTAAGTTTGAAGCGAGAGAAAACGTTGAAGAAATTAATTGAATGTTCGTCTTTATATGGATCATTTTTCTTGGATAAAAGACATATGCAATCTCAAAAAGGTTTTTTTTTTTTTTATTAATGTGCTAGTTATTTCCATTGAAAATCCTTTTATATTCTTCAAAGTCATTTCGGAGCGGAACTGCTCCCATTTGCTTCATTGCAAGTATAAATGGGACGTATTCTAACTGTGGTGAGGGCTTGTACCCAAACACAGATTTTTTTAACTACTATATAAATGGCTACAAGCTATGTTTCTAACAAACATTTATAAAATAAATGAAGAAACTACAGTTTATTTAATTATTTTTTGGTATTTTACTGAAATATTTGCGACACAGAAAGTATCAATGCCGAAACTCAAATCAAAGACACTCGATGTTAAGCGGACTTCAAGACCGAGGGCCAAGAAATCTGTGCGGACACAGTCCACCCCCTAAATAGCTGAAATTCAAGCATCATCATCCAAAGGATCCCAGCCAAAACACCCAAATAGTAAAAAAAAGCCCGTATTGTTCAGTTTTATCAAAAATACAGCTTCTTACTTCCACAACAGCTACTGTTATGAGTAATATTTACACTTGTATGTTTTGACTATTAACAACAAAGGCTCATGTCATAAATTAAATTTTCTCCATCTTTACAGGTGCTTGACAAGTAACAACATCATCCTATCCAACACATGCCTTGCAAATTTAAAAACGATGGGCAGTTCGTTTCAGGCATTTCGTTTTTCCTCAAGTAGACAAGATAAAACCCAACAGTCAAATTAACACAACAAAGTCCAACTCATTCGAAACAAAGTCCAATTGATATGGTAAATTTCAACAAACAACTTAGGTACCTGGGAAGTACCCAACTTATAGCTCATACATTTTCAGAATATCTCTATGAATATCCGGATAAGCAATCCGCAAAAATGCTATCCAAAAATGCTAGATACTGGTATTGCTTATAAACGGGGTTTTAAGTTGTTATACAGAGGGCCAAGAAATACCTAGGTGTCAGGTAATGGACTAGAGGATATTTTAGAGGATAAGATACTAAGGGAAATGCTTGAGGGTCCCACGGGGATCCATGTCTAGATCTATATTAAACGCATTGAATGTAAAAGTTTTTCACATTATATAGCATATCTAATTGGTCTGCTTGTATCTAAATAGATACGGAGAGTCCCGATCTGTTTGCTTAAAAAAAAAATTACCGATTTCCTCCTATAATACATATGTTATTGCTTCAAAAGATCCCTAAAACACACGCAGTGGTGAAATTCAGTTGTTGCATTCATATTTGGTAGGAATACAAGCGAAAAGATCAGTTCTTTATACAACAAACCCGTGCTTTCATATTTCTTCACACCATGTCTTCTTTTCATGAGGTATTTCAGTCTTAAGATGATGTTCAAAAGAACACAGATGATGACAAGTAGAAACCTAATTAATACAAATACAAAAAATTATTTCTATTATGCACGCCATCTTTGATTAAAAAAAAATCAACTCAATATTCATTTATATCGGTAAATTTTTGTCTGTTTACAGTCAATATATTCATTCTTTTAACGACATTATATATCCTTGTGAACTTGAAATTAAAAATACCAGATTCTGACGCATCAATTTCGTAATTGGATGTTTAATTTGAAAAGACGTTAATGGTAATTTAACAACAAATCTCTATGATAAGCGTAAGGAGGTCAATTATTCAGTTATCAACCATCCTTACTTATGTAGCAATACACACTGCGCCTGCATGTATGGTTGATTTTAATTTATACTTACCCAATGATATAATGGGGTATGCTCGACTCCGTAGCAAAATATTTCTAGTATATCAAGGTCAGTTGTACTTAATATAAAAATAACATTTTTAGCGATGAAATAAATTAAAATGGCGCAAGGATCGCATTTATTTTGAATGTTTTGAGTCACTTGAATTTCCAACGTACGAGGTTAAATGTAAATATTAATGTTTTGGAAAAATTAAGAAGAAATTAATTAGACTCTACTGATAAAAGTAGTATATTTATTCAGTTAAGGACATTGGCAACGTTTCTGGATTTTGTATAGAATTTTTCAAGAACTTTTGTACAGGTTTAATGGTATCAAACTTGTTCAATTCAAGTCCTTTTTACCCATCAAGCCAGCCTTCCTTAAAGGATTTTGTCAAATCAATGTTTTTACAATTCTCAAT